ATATATCTACGGGAAACTATGTATTATGTATACATCATTGGGATAGAAACTACGTATCATCGTTGGGATAGAAACTACGTATACAAACTATGTATATAAATCATCGGGATAGAAACTATATATATATTTACAGAAAACTATGTATTACGTATATATCATCATAAACTACGCATATGTACTACGTATATATGTTTGGGTATGTATATATTGTCAAGATTACAGGATAGAAACTATGTATATGTATATATCCTATATATATCGTTTCCTTTGGAAACTATGTATAGATACTCCGAGATAGAAATATATAGATACTATGAGATAGAAACTATGTGTAGAAACTGCGGTTATCGAAAAGTATGTACAAAGCATCACCAACTTCACTTGCCTCTCCCTTTCGGATTTCGTTTGTCTCGCACATATGTTTGGACACCATTCTTGTGTTTTGCACACGCTTTCGCTTCGCCTTTCCTAAATAGAACACCCCCAGCAACCCCCAAAGTGCCCCACGAGGTCCTGTAGGCAGACAGTCTTCCTTAACACTTTCCCAAATAGAACACAGCCTGCAACTCCCAAAGCAACATGCCAGGTGTGGCTCAAGTTGATAGCCACACCCCCCTGGAAAACCTCAGAATTACCCTTTCTCTTTGCCAAGCCTTGCAATGCCTTTACGCTGAGCTGCCCTCAACGACAAGAGAAGGAAAATTGTCACGCACCAGTACACCCCGCTTTACGCTGAGCTGCCTCCGACCATTTCACTCCCACGCAAGGACCTCCAAAACTTGCAGCCATGTGCATTCCACATCGAAGACAGAACTGGGGATTGGACCTGTGTGCTGTAAAGGGAACAATACCAGGGTACAAAGCTTCGCACTCGAAGTGCGGAGTTCACTCGCATCTATCCCCGAGAGATGTTCAGCATCCCAACCACCGGGCAGACCTTAATGACCGCAAAATTGCATTTGTACCCAACCCACGAAATTGCGTTTATGCCCAACGACCGGAACGCTCAAATTGCATACATGATCCAGCATTTATGTGCCTGAGGGGCATGAACATAAAAACATCATAACCGCAAAAACCAAACTCCTGGGCAACGGGTTGAAATTCATATCAGCTGCCGCGCTATGTAGAGATACATACGGCGTTCGCAAGAACGTAAGAGCATATCCAACACGAGTGCTACTAGTGTGTGTATACTGAGCAACAACAGGCGCATGGGTAAAGTTACGGACTTACCTGACTTGCGCCGGATTTAGGTTCATGGCTGCGTCTGTGTCTAGAGGGAACTGTCCATCTTCAATCGCGCTACAGATGGAGTTTTCCTTATCGCTCAAAGCCAAGCGATTACAACTTTCAGATGTTCGTTTGAATATATAACCCTTCTTGCTTACTCTAAACAGCAAATGGGTGAAACAATTTTATATAATTCACTAAAGGTACCCTTGTACATGTCTTCCTGATGATTCCGACGCCTCCTTCCCCGCTCATGATCTCCACAAGTTCTACAAAGGCAAAGGAGTCGTATGTTTTCAAACCTTTGTGTGTTTATTCCTGCAACATTTTAGAGCAATAATATTTTTCTGAAAAAAAAAACCTTCGAAATGCTCAACAACCCTTGTGATACTAGGTAGCAATGTTCAAAACAGCAAAACAAAAAAACTAGCGAACAAGTAATGCAGCAGCGCCACAATTATGTCACAAACAGAAAACCACTCTAGAAGATAGGAGCCAGCTACAAAAACAGAAACCTTTAGAGGATCATCAGACGTTTGACAACGCAACTTTTTGAGAAACTAGGGTCATCAGAGGTTTGATGACACAACTTTTTGAGAAACTCAAGGTCCCTTTGCCACGCATCATTCAAATGCAGATCCCCTCGAGATAGGTGGTATGCAAAAGACAGACAGCCCAGGGAAGAAAAAAACACAGAGGACAGGTTTATATGACCCATCCTCAGCACTGTTCTCTTCGACAAAACCTGCCCTCGTCCAAAGGTGTGAAAGGCGGTTGGTAAAAGTCAAGGTAGCCAAGAGGAGAGGAGAACTCTTCGCGGCCACCCTCATTTCAAGGTCTCACTGAGAGATAGACAAACTCTGTTTGGAAGTTGTAATCTTCCCCTTTGCCCAAAGTTGCACCACTACCTATTCCAAAGGTACATTGGACATAATACCTGCACTTACCTGGCATAGTGCTTATGAAGATTTCCACCCTCTCTGTGCACTTACCTGGATGTGCCTCCTCATTTCCATCCTTTCATCAGATATCAATTCGTACAGGACACATTTTGGTGATAAGCCAAAAACTATTAACACAGCGACCAAGCAAGCACGAGAGAGAGAGAGAGAGAGAGAGAGAGAGAGAGAGAGAGAGAGAGAGAGAGAGAGAGAGAGAGAGAGATGGGAATTCTCCAACCTCTCACAATCTTCTCCCGAGGATTACAAGCCCTCCCCCACACCATCAAGAGGCCCACTTCAGCATGCCTCCTCCAACATTGAAAATGCCACTTCAACACACCTCCTTCGACATTGACGGCGTGTCCCACTTGGACATTCATGAACTTCCTAACAGGCTAAGGTAGGTTTGCCTCACATTTCCCAAGTGCCATTGACAATACACTCATCTCCCTAAACATGAACTATCCATCAATCGTTCCTGACAGGCTAGGTTTGCCTCACAATCTTCTATCGAGGCTTAAAAGTTAGAAGTGCATCCTAATCATTTACTGACCTGGGTTAGGCTGACGGAGCGGGCCTGACAGACCGGGCCAGACAAACCGGGGGGGTGTCCGTCCGGCAAACCAGACGAGCCAAAAAATGTCGGAGGATTTTTTTTTTCTTTTTTCTTTTGAAGATGGGGTTGGACTGCGCTCGCTGAGAGGAGCCCAAATCCACAGAGAAACTTGTGAAAGACATGTGTTGGGGGGGTGGCCGGGGGGGGGGAAGGAGTTTGAGGGGAGGAGGGAGGTGGGGGGTTGTCAACTTTTTAGAAGGGTGTGTTTCAGCAGCCAGTCCGCTGAGGGGAGGGGTTAGAAGAGGAGGAGGAGGAAGAAGAAGAAGAAGACGAAGAAAAAGAAGCAGCAGAAGAAGAAAAAACAAACTAAGAACGACGAGGAGGACAAGACAGAAGGAGGAGGAGGCCGAGGAGGAGGAGGAGGAGGTGGAGGACCTACTGGTGGTGTATGTGGATGACGGAAAAAGAAAGACAACGAGGAGGAGGAAGAGGAGGAGAGAAGGAGAAGAATTAGTAGGTGGAGGAGGAGGAGGAGAGAAGATGAAGACGAGAGGAGGAGGAGCAGCAGTAGGAGGAGGAGGAGAGAAGAAGAAGAAGACGAGAGGAGGATAAGGAGCAAGAGGAGGACTTGCCGGTAGTGTATGTGGATGACAAAAAATAAAAAAAAGATGACGAGGAAGGAGGTCGAGGAGGAGGAGGTGGAGGGGGAGAGAAGGAGAAGAATAAGTAGGTGGAGGAGGATGAGAGAAAAAGAAGGCGAGAGGAGGAGAAGGAGAGAAGGAGAAGACCAGAGGAGGAGGAGCAGGAGGAGGAGGACCTGCCAGTGCTGTATGTGGATGACCAAAAAAAAAAAGAGACGATGATGAACAAGGTTGAGGAGGAAGAGGAGGAGGAAGAGGAGAGAAGAAGAAGAGGAGAGCAGGAGGAGGGAGGACCTGCCAGTACTGTATGGGGATGACGGAAGACAAAAAAAAGGACGATGAAGGAGGATGAGGAGAGAAGGAGAAGGCAAAAGTAGGTGGAGGAGGAGGAGGAGAGAAGAACAAGAACACGAGAGGAGGACGAGGAGGAGGAGAAGGACAAGGCGAAAGGAGGAAGAGGAGAGAAGAAGAAGAAGACGAGACAAGGAGGAGGAGAAGAGGATGAAAAGGACCTGCGGGTTTCGTATGGCGATGACAAAAAATAAAATAAAATAGAGGACGGGAGAGAGAGAGAGAGAGAGAGAGAGAGAGAGAGAGAGAGAGAGAGAGAGAGAGAGAGAGAGAGAGAGGAATCCCAACCGTCAGTAGGTTAACCGCAGCAGGATTTCACCGCAGCTCGCCTATCCAGACACGTGCGCTTTTCAGCACACTGATGTGGCCACGTGGCACTTCGCCGAATAAACAAATCCAATGAAATCGGGACGAGGAGAAGGGGAAGAAAGGAGGAGGAGGAGGAGAAGAAAGGAGGACGAGGAGAAGAAGGAAGGAGGCGGAGGAGAAAGGAGGAGAAGAAAGGAGGAGGAGGGGGAGCAGAAAGGAGGAGGAGGAGGGGGAGAAGAAAGGAGGAGGAGGCGGAGGCGGAGAGAAGAAGACAACAGGAGGAGGAGGAGGAGGAGGAGAGGAGAAGAAGAATAGGAAAGGAGGAGGAGGAGGAGAGGAAGAGAAGAAGAGGAAGAACAGAGGTGGAGGAGGCTTCACGACCATGGCTCACGGCCGCAGCGACGACAGGCGGGCATCACGACCGCAGCGACAACGGGCTGGCTAGCGACGATGGGCGGCTTCGCGACGGCAGCGACGACAGGCTTCGCAACAGGGAATACCGCGCTAGAATTCGAACGCGGCATCGTAGCCCGCAAGAGGGGGAAATGAATTCTTGGCGGCTAATCTCAGCCGAAAACCTCGCTTCCCCCACTCAAACTACTTGTACATTATCGTAGATTCAGAAAGAGAAATTTACCTGGTGTCGCCGGAGACTGGGGAGGCGACCAGTAGCCAAAAGAGACCTCCCCCACCCCCTGCGCGAAATTGCACTGGCCTCGCCCGGCCCCAAACCGGGGGACCCAACCGGCCGGGCCGCCAGGGACCCCTGCCGGAACATTCTGTCACAGGGCCTATTCTTGTTCCCTCCCTTGCTATCGAACATCCACGCGACTGGTGCCTCCTCACTGCTCTGCATGGTGATTTTTCTCCCGACTGTCACGTCTTCAATTTTCTGGCAGCTGCCCGGTACTGCCACCTTCCCCTGTGCATGTCACGGCCTCAAGGCATACAGGCTTTCTTTCCACTCTGTGACAGTCCAGTTTGTTATAATGAAGGTCTACAAACACTTCTCCCGTCTCCAGCTGTTTCCACAAACAGCCTTGTTCAACTCGCAGAGCATTCCGCTACTGACCCTGAAAATATTACTTGTCAGTCTGTTATAATGGGTGTGTGCGCGTAGTGAAGACTTTGCTTTCCAGTCTGTTATAATGGGTGTGCGCAGTGTTCAGGTGACGACGTAGGCAAAGTTGCCGGCATGTGCTGCTGCACCTTGCTTCTCTTCCATGCTCCCTGCTTGCAACCTTTCTCATGTTTGCAACAACAATCACCTTCCCCAGATAAGCACAAACTGCCACACAGAACAAAGTCCAGAAATTTGACTATGGGGAGATTTATTTTGATCATTGCTATAGGCAACTGAGAATTCCCGTGCAGCTGTTATTGGGAGATGTCTACCTTTCCTTTCAGAGAACCCTAACACTAAGGCGTTTTCGCACATGCGCTGAACGTAATATGCGTCCGACATGTTGCGTACCATACGTGAGGTCTGCTACACATATAAGAAAGTGCTACCGTCTTCGCCCGACTACAAGAAACAGTCACCATTGCCGTATTTAGACTCAAAGATGCCTCAAATACAGCCATAATGACCTGACGTTGCATTCCAGTCAGTACAGTGATCATCATACCCTCGACCTACCACACACCTTCCCCATCTTGGGTAACTATTCACTCCAGATTGAAAATAGAACAAAAATCTCTCTCTCTCTCTCTCTCTCTCTCTCTCTCTCTCTCTCTCTCTCTCGCTCATAATCCGCAAGCTTGCGCACTCCACATTCATCTTGCCCCCCCCACCTTTTCCAGCAAGCCCTTCTTCCCAGAGTACACAAGCAGCACTCCTCCCCTCCTGTGATTGCTTGGGGATCGCAGACGCAAAAAGAAAGAAAAAATACACACCCACATAGTACATACCCGACAGAGACCCAGAAAAAAGACAAGGCCTGCAAAAATACATTCTCCATTTTGGAAAATATTGCAAATTCAGTGCACACAAACAGAACAGGCAACCTTCACTCGACAAATTTGTGTACACTACTTTCCAAAAGTTCTCATCCATTTCCTGTGCTTCATATTCTGCTTCTTTGAAGATTTGCCTTTCTTTTTCCGCTTCTTCATCGTCTGAGATGCCCCTTCTGTGGCTATAGTAGCAGGAGTCGTCGCAGGTGTGGCATCCGAAGGCCCACCCTCGATCGCCATGGCAGTCGGCGCTCCTTGTCGTCCTCTTCTTTGCTCTGCACCTCCTGGATAACAGAACAAAGATAAGAGAAGTAAGCATGTATATTCAAATGATTGCCTCCCCCCTTTTGCAACCGTCGTACACCTCCGCTTGCCCGCATCCGAGGCAGGAGGTCGCCACATTGAAGTTTGCCCTGCCCTCGCAGTAACCACCTGCCACGACCTGTGCCAGTCGCCGACCTTCCATGCAATACAGCAGCGAAACACTCAGCTGTCCATATAAAAAAACTACCATCTTCTCCTCTAATCTCCCCGATAAAAGGCCCACTCATTCAGATTGTGAATTTGAAAAACACGGCTTCAACTCCCGTTACTCGCCTCCTCTCGCATCTCAACTCTGCCCAAGTCCAGCCAAAGCTGGCGTCAAGACAGTTAGTTATTCATTGAATGCAGTCAAGACAGTTATTTATTGACTGCAGTCAATGAATCTATAAAAGTTGATTGATTCAAACAACCACAAATAATAATAATAATATAATAATAATAATAATAATAATAATAATAACAATAATAATAATAAAAATAAGTAAATAAAAAATAAAGAGAGGTGGCGAAAGATTGCAGAACATTCCGAAAACGGCAAGTGGTTTCCCCGTTGCCTGAAATCAACGGAGCCAAACCACGGATGAGCTGAGTAGCTGGAAGCAGTTTCAACGTGAGTCCCACGTTGCAAATGCAGGGAAGATGCGACAAACCTCCCATTTATCGCGGTAAAAAAAAAAGAAGAAGAAGAGTTGTAGATCTTTTCAAGAGCTACGACCCCATATTTTTTACTCTTTATTTTGACCACTCATTATATGTTTTTACAAATCGGAAAACATACAAAGAAAAAAAAAAACAGAAAAAAAAGATGAAATGGGTGGGTTTTCCTTTGTTTTGCGGGGGGGAGAAAAGCAAAAAAAGAAATAAAAAATACAAGGTTGTATATGTTTTGGACAGCTACAACCCCTGTTTTCATTCTTTTTTCAAAACATTATATGTATTTAAAAAAAAAAAGATATACACACACACACCCTCACAGACACACACACACACACATGATGACGGCCATAGCGGACGGCACGGAATGGGGGAGGCCATAGCGGAGGGCGTCGGAAGGGTAAGGGAGAAGCGTGAGGGGGGAAGGTGAACGGAGGAGACCGCGTGGAGACTGCGATGTCTCTCTCTCTCTCTCTCTCTCTTAGCACAATGCATATGGCAGCCCGGTGGTGATGCAGCAGCGGCAGCACAGCTCGATGAGGCTCCGCAGCGGCAGTACAATGGTGCAGCCGCACGAGGGATGGCGATGGCAGCGAAATCCACAGCATGGCGGGAACGAAGCAATGACAAAATTCCAGAAGCGCAACAAGGTCTGGAGGGCGGCAGCGATGAAGTAAGGCGGAGAGCGCAATGGAGAAGACTGAGCCAGCAGGGGAGTGTTCCACGAACACTCCCGTCACTGAACTCCCGCCCAAAGCGAAAGCAATCGGCAGCTGATCCAGGCCACAGATCTGGCAACTTGAAGATTGGCGGCTTAGATCAGCCAAATGATACATCTTTGAAAATGGGGGGACTGGTAGGCTCCCCCTTTTTTTGTGAGTGCGGCAGCCGCCTGGGCAGTGTCCGGAGACCACCCAGGCTTGTTTCTGGCTGGTCACCCCGCCCAGAGGAAATGCACTGGGCCCGCCTGGGCCCACTGGACAGGCCCAGCAGACCAGGCAGCATGCATGGGGGGCATACAGGCAAACGATGGCCAGCCAAGTTGCCCGTGGACCAGCTACAGTCTTCCCCCGAATACAACGTACGGTCATCATAACTGAATTTAGACCGAAAGATACACCAAATTCAGCTATAATGACCATACGTTGTATTCGAGGGAAGACTGTAGCCCTGTGTCAGATAGCTTTCACAAAGCCCCTGAACCAAGTACGCCCCTAGATTCTTCTAACCAAGTACGGTCATTATAGCTGAATTTGGTGTATCTTTCGGTCTAAATCCAGATTCTTCTAACATTTGTTCGAGTGTGCCCCTAGATTCTTCTTACCAAGTACGCCCCTGAACCATGGCACACTCGAACAAATGTTAGAAGAATCTGAGACCCAGCAGGGTGAAGAAGGTAGCAAGCGTGCGTTATGCTACCTTCTTCCCCCGAATACAATGTACGGTCATTATAGCTGCATTTGAGGCATGTTTCAGTCTAGATACAGCTATAATGACCGTACGGTGATACAGCTATAATGACCGTACGTTGTATTCGGGGGAAGACGGTAGGAGAGTATGGCGGATAACGCCTCAGTGCAGTCCTTCATGCATTCCATGTACCCAGGGTCAAACCCCCCAGGTGGTATGTTCAAGCTCTGGAAGAATGAACCTCTTTGTAAAAATGACCATGACCAGGTGCATTCTTTTTCAGCACGAAAACAGCATCGGTGAGAACTACTGTCCACATCCTCGCCCGCATTAAAGAGCACATGCTATTCGTTTCCAGTTGGGGATGGTGTGTCGACTAATGAAATAAGTAGGGAAGGTGGTTCTGCAGTCCTCTCTCTATAAGCATGACTAGACATCACGTTTCCAGTTGTTGGGGGTTCAAGAGAGAGGGAGGGGGGGGGGGGGGGGGGGGGGGGGGAAGCCGAATTTGATCACTGCACTGTGCCGGGTGCCACTCGCCAAGGGGTAGCTCAAGCAGCAAGACCATAAGGGTGAGTGTGGTTGGGTACACCGTGTCGCGGGATCTCCGTGCTGGGGTGGGGTGAAGTGCTTATCTTGGGGCTTCACTTTCACCCCAGCCCACTTAGCCTTATGGTTAGGTGTTAGCCTGCCAAGCCGTTGGTTGTGTGTTCGGATTGCATGGATGGAGGGAGGGAGGGACACCATGGGCCTCGCTCCGCTAATCACCAAATGTGCAAAATGAGAATGAATCTTCCGACAAAACGTGGGAAGATGCACCACCATATTTTTCGTCTTTTAGCGAGGTTTGCTAAGGGCACCAGTGCTCTCAGGGAGCCAAGGGAAAGGCTATCTGAGACCCTGGTTTACTGGCACGGAGTGTCAAGACTACAACGGGTGTTCAAGCATCTGTAGATACCCTAACTAGGGACTGTACATTAGTATTCTTGTATAGCCTCCTAAATTTCTGAGAAGCACGTTAGTATGTCAACCCGTGGGAATAGTATCGTTGTACATTACCTTTCGGAGTACTATATCGTTTTTGTACATTGTTTTCTCGTATCTGCATACGGCCGCTACTGTAGGGATAGCATGTAAGTATTAGCAAAACCGTAGTTCGGGTTAGCCAGCCTAGGCAGCTTGCTGTGTAGGCAGGATTGGAATTGGAACGTTCGAATTTGTTCGGCGGTCAGTTAGGGCCCGTAGCCGATGGCACGCTGTGGTGCGAGTCGGATGTCAGTTCATACCCGATGGGCGTGAAGTGTACTGGCGGGAAAGAAATGAAAGTCGGAAGCTGCGCAGTTCGAATTTCTACGTATGACGGGTGAGCATTTTACAGACCGGTAGCTGACGCGTACATAGTGTCAGTCAGAACCGGTAGGGCCCTTCTTTTTCAAAATAGGGTACGTGGGCCTCATTCTATCCTCCAGGGTTAGGGCCGTCGGCTTCTTGGACATTAAAATGAATCTGGCGCTGTGTATGTGCCAGATTCATCATCCGGTGGGGCTCTTCGAGGGACACGTGGGCCTGTAGTACCCCACATGGAAAACATTGGGCCGGTAGTACCGAATGGCTGAGTTTCGGGCGCCCAAAACGGCATCGACGCTTTCTACCAATTATCCCAG